GTAGTATGGTTACATGACTTAAACACTTGTAAAAACCTCATAGAACTCTACCAGGGTGAATTTTACCGTGCATAAAATAAAAGCTACTTATGAATTGTAAACACAATTAAACATAGAAAATAATTAATTAAATTAACTTTGAAATACAATTCCTCTAATTGTACATGCTCTATGGGATATATTCTAAGGAAAAAAGGAACTGAAATAAGATTTAAACTTAGTATGCTTAGTGTTTGTAGTAAAAAAGATATTGTATTATCAAACTATTTTATGTACAGTATAGGATAAAGCAAACAAATGAATATATTAATATTATTAGGAACTAATATTTGAACTATAAAAGAAGTATTAATATAAAATTAAGGTAAGTAAGAATCTTACAATTCCATTTTTTTATTTGGAATTAATACAAACTCATAATTTATATTCATTCTAGCATTGTCTACCTACAGCAGCTAGAAATAACTTCCCCCATAGGAATGAGTAGAGTTAATGTTTAGCTGTTGAGTTCTAAACGATGATTTCTAAACATTCCACACTATAAGACACCATGGCTTGCTACAGTAGTTGCAAATTCCAGGTTTGGGGCAAGGAAAAAACAGGGGCAATGCAGTGTAAGAAAACAACAAAGTGCTCACATACTAATGGCACCATATCAAAGAAACACAGGAGTCATCTTGGAGTAACCTCCACTAACCAAATTGGGAGCATTTGAGTGTCAAAAAGAACAAGGATGGCTATGAATCAAAATACACTAAATTTTTTAAAAATGAGTCCATAATGATTATAGAGAAGGGGCAAGACTGAGAAATTTAAAAATCTCTTCTTTGTAGAATACCAGTTAATAAATGAAAAATAAATAATAGTATTGGGAAAGTTACCAGTTTGCAATCCCCAAGTAATAATTGTAGCAGGCAAAAATCATTAATGGATCATGAAAATATAAGATGAGAAGTTGTTAAAAAACAGAAAGTCACACAGTCAAGTGTTTCCCCACGGATTATTTATTAATCCCAGAGGGAGAAATATACCTCTAGAGAGACCCCTCTGGTCACAACTTTGACCAAGTGACCAAAATTAGGATCACCAGTGGCGGGACAATCTGACATCAACTACTCCTGGTGTAAAGCATTCAGAAATATACAAAACCAACGTAATATTCTTGCCAAAGCACCTGAATATGACAATGAAAAATCAATCAGGCAAATCCATAATGTAGAAGATTCCATAAGACTAGACTGGGTTCTTCAGAAAAGTCATTGGCATGAGAACAGAACCAAACAAACAGAAATGTCAGAGACCTATTCTAGATTAAAAGAGAATGAAAAGACAACCAGATGCAATCCATCAACCATGACTGAATCCTACATCAATCAACCAAACGACCAATACAACAAAAGACGTCTGGGAAATAATTGGAGAAATTTGAATATGGACTTCATATTAAATGATACAGTTTAGGGGTATATAATAATAGTTCTGTGGCTACATCCCTATGCCTAGGAGGGATATGTTAAGGTCCAAGGAGGTCAAGTGTCACAGTGTCTGCAACTTACTTGCAAATAGTTCAGTACAGATAAATAAATAGATAAATAAGTAAGAGAAAAATGTGAATAACTGATAAATCTAAATGAGGCCTATGGATTTTTGTTATACTAGTCCTTATCTTTTATGTAATTTGGAAATTCTAACAATAAAAATTTTGAAGAAAAAATAAGTGCCTTGATCAGTGAAGCACAGGCCGGAGAGATGTATCTGCACCGCACTGAACGATGTATTTTGCATTGCGGTTGAGAAGGAGGGGCTAACTTCTGAGGCTACCTGGGAAGGGTCTGGTGCTGCCGGGAAAATTAGGGGCACAGCTTCCCATGCCTAGGGTTCCACTGCCCAAGGCCAAAGTACAGACTACCTTTTCCTCAACGGAGAATCTGGAAGACACACACAATAAATACTAAACAACAGAAGTCTGTGCTTCCCACCAGTTTGAGAAACGGCATTAGACCAAAAGGTTATTAGTTTTAATTTTAGCTAAACCACTGCCAAAAGAGTATGGCTGCCTTCATATTCCTTGGGAATTGATGGAAAACACAGGCTTCATTAGAAACCTGCAGCAGGATTTCAGCGAGATTGCTTTGGGAAGTCATGCTCATCCATTAATTGGCTCAACAACCATTTATCATTACTCATTTTTCCCTAAACATTAGCATCACATCTAATCAAATTTAGATATAAGCAAAGACAAAGATTTGGTATGAAATTCCATTACTTTTTAAAAATCTTGTCAAGCATTTGTAAAACAAGGTTTTGTTTTCTTTTTTCTTCTTTACTAGATGTTTTATAGAGGACTAGATGTTCCTCAAAGAATATCGTGGGGAGAGAGGGCCATGGCTGGACAGAGAGATGAAAACAGAAAGTTTTCCAACGAAACAAAAGGAGAAAGTTCTCCAAGCCATGTGTATACTAAGGGCCCATCCCAATCAAAGGACTCAACCCACTCCACTCCAATTAGAAGAGTAGCCTTTGAAAACTCAATTTTAATAAAATTCAAGCCAGGGCTTTGGTTGCTCAATCTTTTTAGCCAGGTGCCAAAAATCTGGCCAAATGTATGGAAGCAGATTCCTCTTCTATGAACTGCCACAAGAACTTTGATGTTTATCCTAGCAGAAAGAATCTAGGTTGATTACCCTCTCTTCCAAAAGACCATCCCTTTCTTGGTAGAGAGCATTCTTCCTGATTTATCCAGCTTGGAAGGACACCATGAACTTGATGTTCCAAACCTGCTTACTAAAGATCCCTTCCCTTTTTTGGATCAATCGTAAAAATCAAAGACTGTCACACAACAAAGTAATTAACTTTTTCATTTTTTTCTTGAAAAAAAATCTATTTTTAAGATAGCCCAAATATACTCTATATTTGCATTTTCAGTTCATTATTACTCTTCTTAAAAAGCAACAAAATTAAACTCTATCCCTTTGATACTATCATACATTATTTGAAAAATGAGCTTGCTTTGCGTTTCCCAACCCACCTGAGATTTCTCCTGACAAACTCTTACACAATGTACTTACAGCCTGTTATTCTTAAGACTTCATTGTATAATGTAAAAATATAACTGGATATTCTAATGAAAATTCATGTAAATACCTCAGTACATAACATTTTTTTAACGAGTTACTACATATAGCACCTCATTCCTGTTAGCACTCAGTGCAAACATCTTGTCTTAATTCAACAGCTTGAATTTTCTTAAGACCTTGAGCACTTGATTAATTTCTGAATCTCAGCTGACACTGCCCTAAAAGGGTGAAAGAATTAATCACTCTGATGTCATTCCAGATGGACAAGCACAGGTTTTAAGATGCTTGTTTTGCATGTGGGATTGGAATTTAAGACATCCCATATATAAAATTCTTAGACAGCAATTGAGAAGTTGGTCATGGACCTAGGCACTAGAAAAACATGTTTGTTTTTTGATGCCTCTGCAAGGTAAATTTCATTATTCCTTCATTAAGAGTTATATTGGGTAGTTACACAGCACCCATCGTCATCACTTGTAGAGGGAATGCTAGATGCTTTGTTTATTTTATGCATAGGTACAGCCAACCAAACACGCTAAACCACTTAAAGGAGTTTATTGACACTGGCAAGGAACAACAATTTAGTAAAGCAAATGACGCAGGTTGTATATTGTGGAGTTTTCAAGGTTTCTCTCTCTCCTTCCCCACCCTGCCCTACTTTTCTTTAGAACAGCTTTCTACATGGAAAACATGTCAAAAATTTGGAAAGCAACAAGCAATCAGCTATTTTTTTTCTCCTAAAGCTATGATTTGGTTTTGGGCCAATCTCAAGCAGTGGGCTTTTCAAATAGGACCAGTTTTACTCATCCAAAAATGGGAAGATCTATCCAACAATGAATACCTCTACTTGTTAGGTCGTCAAGCCTGAGCTAGTGAGCAAAGGTCAAGCTAAAGCTTTATGAAGAGTGACTTTATAACCACCAAATTTTAAGGCAAACAACTAAAGAACACTAATATCATTCACATATTGAGTTTTAGTTTTGATCAAACACTACAGTTAGCTTTATGTCCTGCGTGAAAAAAAATAATACTAGTCTCAGTCTATCATAACCCATATGAATAGATTTCCTTTAAAAGGCAATATGTGAATTTTAGAGCACATATTGTAGCATGGCCTAGAACTAGGTGATATGATGATGATTTCATCACTGGTCATTTCTGTATCAACAGACCTCATCAGTTAACGTTTTGGTTTGGAAGTTATGTTACACGGTGGATGAGAACACAACCAAACTGGATTTTGTCCTGTCATTTACTAGTTCTATGACCTTGGACAAGTTAATGGGCCTCCGTCTGCGTCAATTTCCTTGTCTGAAAAATGGGGATGATCATACCTTCTCCTAAGTGTACTGACTACATTAAGATATAAATGAGAAAATATCTGTAAAACCATTAGCACATCTCTCTAGCATGTAACAAACAGTTATTGATAGCTATTTCTTTCAAACTTTAGAGGTTGTCTTTCTAAAACAGTAATTGGTTTAGTTCACAGAATAAATACATCATTCTAATTCACCAGAAGACATTTCTTGAGAAACACTGATTTTTTTTTTTTTTTTTTTTCCTAACCTCATCTCATACCTGTCTAGTCTGCTATGGCTTCTGTATCCCTATGGACAATAAAGGTAGTATTTTCTTGCTAAGTGCACTACACTTGGTATCTCATTAGTTCTCACAATAATTGTATGAAGCAGCAACCATGACTATTTTCATGTTACAGGTTAAGAAACGGAGGCTTAGAACCCTAAGGTTATATAAACAGTTAAGTGATGGAGGCAGCATTCAGATCTGTGAAATCTGATGTTAGATCATAATCACCAACTTAATATCTGTCAGGTCCTATATAAGCTATTTAAATTATGCTGTAGAGAAAAAAACAACATTTAGATGGTGCAGAAAAGGAACCATGTGCTTGCGACTCACCTTATGGAGAGAGAAAAAGGTGGGCTCAGCAAAGCTTGTAGTTTGTGTTTTAGCCCCTGCAGGACAACAGAAACATCCCTTGGTTCAAGAGCATGGAGTCTCCTGGCTGATGGTCCTATCTGTACACTGCACACATGTTTAAATCACATTCCAAGTGAGCTGTTGATTCAGCCTTCTGATCCTAGAGGGTGGAAACAAAATCCAGTTATACGTAGCTAAGAGATTACCCTCCAATTCAGAGATAGATTGTAACAGGGAGAGAACAACGGGGTTAAATGTCTATTTCTACCTAGACAAGCTAAACTGCTCGGAGATTCTGGGTCAAATACAAGCTGCCCTGGTTCTCATCCTTGTGCAGAGCATGGACCCGATGGAATATGAGGCAGACCTGGCATTTTGTGTTTATTAACTCATTGAATCCACACAAGAATCCTTCATAGGTAGCACTGTGATCAGCCCTGCTTTGTAGAGGAGAAAACCAAGGCAGGAACACTTCCAATAACAACCTGCATTGTGTTCCACAGTAGACACATGGCATGGGCAGGATAGAAGCCAGGGAGGTAACAGCACAGGCCTGGTCCCTGGAGCCCCACAGAACACACACATGGGAAGGAAAACACCCAGTTCCCGGAACTTTTGACTTAACGATGGTATCACACACACACATACACACATGTGCAGCTTCACTTTTACCTCAAGGTCTCAGATACATATAGGCTTAAAAAAAAAAAAAAAAAAAAGAGGTAACTGCCAGGGACTGTGGGGAGAGGGGTATTGGGGGTTGGTGTTTAACAGGAACAGAATTTCAGTTTCAAAAGATGAACAAGCTATGGAGATAAATAACTGTTATCCACCCATGATGGCTGCACAAAGTGAGTATACTCAATGCCACTAAACTAGAGAGTTAAAAATGGTTAAGATGGTAAATTTTGTGTTATGTATAAATTTGGCCCCTACAAAAACAAAAACAAAACAAACAACAACAACAACAAAAAAAAAACACACAGTAAAAGCCACAGGAGAAAATCTGTGGTTGGGTTATCTGGCCCAAAGTGCCAACTGTGCTAAGAAGCCCTGGGTCACAGGAGATGTGACAGATTGAGTGACATCGTGTATTGATTTGACTGGTTTTATTTTTAGAACTTGAGTACTTGCTGTCTGCCCTTTCCCAGAAAGAATATAGGACAGAGATTTATTAAGCTCCTGAGAAATTCAGCAATTGCTGAAGAAAGGTGCTTCTTTCAGTGGCACTCTGAATTTCCACGGCCCGGAATAAAGGTCTCATTGAATAATGACGGTCAAGGTCCAAAACAGCTTCCAGGCTGAGATGGCTCTGTCCTCTCTCGGTGTGTTTTGGGGGAAAAGTGATCTATTTACAATATTATCTCTGCTGGTTCATTCAAAACTACAGAACCTTCAAGTGAGAACAGATTTTCAGATTTAGAAGATAATTTTTGCCCATTAATCGGCAGCTGGAAAATAAGAACAGAACCCTTGGAAGCAGAAAATAAGAACAGAACCCTTGGAAACCCAAAACTGTCGCATGCAGGCCTTCTGTCCATAAGGATCCTATCTCTCAATGAATCAAAACCTTACCCTTGAAGATCGAGGTTTTCATACCAAGATAAATAAAACTATTAATTTTTTTCAGAATGTCTGTTAGAAATATAATTCCACATACCTGCTGGTTTTCAAAAAATTCAGGCTTAAAAATGGAAAATAAAATTTAATACCATGTTATTACTTACAGTTGTCATTGGCAGAGCTTCGAGCTGCCTTCTGAATTTTCGAGCACCACCCAGAGTTGTTTTTCTTTCAAAAAGGATTTTTCCCCTCAAGATTTTATGAAGATCGCTAAGTAGAATTGCATGCAATCCTATGAAGGGTATATTTTATTCATTTCACTTCCAGTTTGATTCTTACAATGTGAACTCTGTAATTTTCCAGAAAGAAAAAGCTGTGTGTAGTGTGATATTGGCATTGCGCTATGTAGATGTATAGGATTTACACTGTACATATCTGCATGGGCTTGTGCCTGGAAATCTTGCCTAAACCCTCTGTCTCTACAGATCCCTGTGGCGACTTTATCTTTGGAACCAAAATGCTAGAAAATTGTTTGTAATATTTAAACTTTTACCATGTAAAACTTTGATGGTGATAATGATAGAGATGTGTGAGACAAAGTGAAGCAGTTTGCGTAACATTTTTTGGAAGACTTAAATTATTTCTATGTGCTGTGAATAGATAATAGAAACCTTCCCTTCATTCACCCATGTAACAAATACATATTGAGCACCCTTCATGTGCTAGACACTGTTTTAGGCGATGGAAATCCAAGGTGAACAAAAACAGATTTGGTTCCATCTTTGTAAAACTGAGTTTTTATGGGGGGGGGGGTTGTAGGCCTTATACCACCAATTAAGCATAGCTCATTAAACTGTGAATTATTTAATTATCATTGTAAGTGCTACAAAGGGAACTAGGAGGTGCTATGAAAGTTTAACTGGAGAATCTGGCCGTGTCTGAGGGGCAGGGTCAATTTCTTCAGAAAGGGATGTTTGAGCTCAGCATCACCTATAGACCGAGTCAAGAGTCCCCAGACCTACACTTTGAAGGAGGCTTTACCTCCCATACCACCAATGCCTGGGGTGCCCTGAACCTCTGAATCCCCATCTAAAGGACCTCATCTGTGTCTAACATCCCAAAGGGGCAAGTACGAACACCTTCAGTTTCAGGGGTGGTCAAGAAGGGCTGCTTGTAGAGTGTGAGAATGCAAGGGCTTTGATGTACACATTTGATGCTCACAGTCCTTTCACAATGTGAAAAGAAACCAAGGATGGGCGAACAAGGGAGATGAAGCTTTAGCCACTAGCATGGAACCATGAGTTGTGGTCCTTATACCACAACATCCTCATGTGGAACTTCAGGGGGGGTCTGAGAAGTCTAAATTCTGTCTATAGCAGGTGAACCTTCATTTGCACTCTTGCTTTGAGCCCTAAAAATGTTAGGGGTGGTCCCATTTGATCTGGACTTTGCAAGAGGAGTTGGCATTGACTGGGCAAGGAGAGAAGGAGCCTTTCGGGCAGAGGGGCCCATATGGGTGATGGCTCTGAGGCAGAATGGAAAATGAGGTGTTTAAGAACCTAAAGGAAGCTGGTATGTCTGGGATACAGAGAGTCTCACTGTAGCCTGACTGAAGATCTGTCCAGAACAATACATCTTTGAAGGAAAATACTATGTGACCATAAATGAAAGGTCTCCACAACACATTTTTGAATAGCTACTTAAAAAAATTATGAAATGACTTCTATTGCTAAACTATAATTGCAACACAACATATACAAAAAAAAAAATCGAAACAGATGTTTGTAAATAATTTTCTTTCAAATACTGAATTATCAGTGTTCCATTACCTTCATTATCCCATGACAATATAGACAATCATTTCCCATGTCCCTCGAGACTCAAGCCTACGACATGGGTTCTGTTCCCACTGCTTTTCCACCTCAATTTTTGTATTCAATAAATATTCATAATATTCATTCATCTTTTTACTAATTTAACTCAGCTGCAATATAGAAATAATATTACAATAGAGATGTTAGGAGGATGAAAGAAGCTAATATATAAGAAGTACTCAGAACAACAGCAGGAAACCACCAGGCTCATAAAAGGATGATATGGTCTCTGTACCCATGAGAGCTTCCAATTAGAAGAAAAGCAAACATGCAAGCAATTCTGTTGTGCGTACTTAAGAGCAGCAAGATTCTAAAACCACAGAGAAGGAACCGATTACTCCACCTGTACAACAGGGTGAGACTTCACAGACGAGGAAATATTTGGTCACAAGTCCAGAGGGAAGAGGACAGCTACCCCACTGGACAAAAGGGATGACGTGAAGGTATGGGGTAGAAGAGTATGTTGGGAAGGTGGGAAGGTGGGAAGTACTAGGAATGACCTGGTACTCAGCAAGTGCTAACCCACCCTGAAGACTGGGTCATCAGGATGACAGAAATGGTTGGGTCTAGGGTTGGGAGTTGAGCATGCTGGGACTCAAGAGTTGAGCCAGAGTGTGAACGGACTTGCCAGAGTTGGACATTTACGTGGTAGGGGAATGTTTCTCAAAGGGTGGCCCTTGGACCTTAGACACCCCTGGGGCTTCGTGTTAAAAATAAGTCTCCCCAGGGGCTCCTAGGTGGCTCAGTCCAGGAGCAGCCAACTCTTAATTTTGGTTCAGGTCATGATCTTGTGGTTTGGGACTTCAAGCCCTGCATGGAGCTCTGCACAATAATGAGGAGCCTGCTTGGGATTCTCTCTCCCTACCTCCCTCTCTGCCCCTCCCAGCCTCTCTCTCTCTCAAAATACATAAACTTAAAAAAAAAAAAAAAAAAAAAAAGGCCGGCTGGGCCCACTCCAGACATAATGAATTGGAATAAGGGGCCTGGGGCAGTTTAACAAGCTCTCCAGGTGATTCTTGTTTATACTGGTGGTTGCAGTACCAGGAGTTTTTAAAGGAAGTTTTTCCATAATTCATACAATGAGCTTTGTCTTACAAAGTGGCTAGCTATATCCAGATTGCTGAGAAAACCAAGAAGCTCCCCTTCCAGAAGAAAAATACCGATTCAGAAATGGGGTTGCCTTCTGTGAAAATAAATTAGTATCAGACCTTATTGGATAGATATGGGCAGGGGAATCTCAAAGCAAATATATTTTTGCCTATATCATTCTGATCCCTAGCACCCTGACATCCAAGGGAGAAAAGATCCAAATTCTCCCAAAAATAATAAGACTTGTTAGTTTTTCCTTTATAATGGAATACCTATTAAAGACTCCTAACCTAAAATAGACTCAGGGTTTGTGAAACACTGCTGAGAAGGTAACAGAAGTCACAAAGCAATGGCTGGTGTGGAAGTCGGTAATGTTTCAAATTTCCAGGAACTAAAGTCAATGAAATGCAATACTTTCAAACCTTCTTCCTTAAGATTCATTATCCTAAAAAGTTATATATTACTCAGTGCAGGCTCCTTATGCTTAAGGTTTTTAGTTTTACAACTCTCCAAAGAGTCTGAGTGTTTAATAAAGAGAATAGAGAGTTTGCAGAAACCTCAACACATCACAAAATTCTATTTGGTTGATTACTACCCTTTATTCTATGGAACATGACATTTGCAAAGCATGTTT